TGGTTGCGTTGGCCTCCATCAAGAGGGTCGGGGACCTGGAGGCATTTTCGGTCAGTGACTCGTGCCTGGAATTCGGGCCGGATTACTCTCACGTTATCCTGAGACCCCGCCCCGGTTATGTGCCCAAGGTTCCTACCACCCCCTTTAGAGATCAGGTAGTGAACCTGCAAGCGCTGCCCCCGGAGGAGGCAGACCCAGCCCTTTCTTTACTTTGTCCAGTTCGCGCTCTGCGCATTTATGTGGACCGTACTCAGAATTTTAGATCATCTGAGCAGCTCTTTGTCTGTTATGGCGGTCGGCAGCAGGGAAGTGCCGTATCGAAACAAAGATTATCCCACTGGATTGTGGATGCCATTTCACTCGCTTATTCGAGTCGAGGTCAGCCGTGTCCCCCGGGAGTACGTGCACACTCCACTCGGAGCGTTGCATCCTCTTGGGCGCATGCACGCGGCGCCTCTCTAACAGACATCTGTAGAGCTGCGGGCTGGGCGACACCCAACACATTTGCAAGGTTTTACAATCTGCGAGTGGAGCCGGTTTCCTCAAGGGTATTAGGTAACCCTTTGGTGATTGAGGAGACAACTCGGTAGGGTGTTGAAACACGCTTGCTGCGCCATTCTCCCTAACACGGAGGTACGTGCGCCTTTTTTATCTGTCAGTAAAGTTCCCCGTCAGGTGAGCCCTGCAGATTCCTCCGTGGCCCCCAGCACTGACTCAGCGGAGGAGTCACTTGCTGGCCCACTACGTTGTAGGTCTGCCCGCTGGTCAGCCCGCGTTTTGGGTATAGGTGCCTGCTATGCGTGATCCCCACTAGGCGATCCCATATGCTTATTCCGCCACGGTTAAGTCCCCCCCCTGGGCGGACCCGTGTCTTCCCTCTCCGCTAACCACTCTTTTGCTATGCGTACTCCCCCTTTTTAGGGCTAGTCCATAGGTAAATTCTGCCATCTATCCCCCCCTTGGGTAACGGATGGCCTCCGCAGCGTCCTCCCTATCGGGATTGCACGCTTCCCAACGTACTGTCGTATTTCCTAGAATTATCTAGATGCTCACGACTTCCCAAAAAATATATCTAAATCCGTAAAACTTCTGTTGAAGTAGGATAAATTAGGGCCAGGGACACGTTGGAGGACCGCGCCCCCCATGATGTGGGTGCGTCACGCTTGCTTGACTATCTCCTCATCGGGGGTGTTGGTAAGGTGCAGTCATTATGGCGCTTTCCATATTCTCCCATTCATGGCACTGAAGTTCCCCAACCGAAGGGGAACGTTCGAGGTTACAGAAGTAACCCTTCGTTCCCCGAGGAGGGGAACGGAAGTGCCATATTCCGTCGCCATAATGACTGTCCCTTAGCTGTTTGAAAGTCTCTTCAGCTTAAAAGGATGGCGTCTGCTGGCTTCAGGTGTGCTTATATGCTGAGATAATTGCAGATGTCGCACACCTGCGCAAGCTTACGCTGCCAATTAATTTCATTCATTGGCCCGTTCAATACTCTCCAGATAAGCGGCTTCTGATCCGAATCCTCCCATTCATGGCACTTCCGTTCCCCTCCTCGGGGAACGAAGGGTTACTTCTGTAACCTCGAACGATCTCTAGGAACAGGATTGAGCACCCCTGGTATATAGCATACTTTTAAAGCAACTGCTAACATTTATTACAATCACATATCCAATAAACACACACACACACAAAGTGCTGCAGTGAAATGTGTTACTCTCTCCTCAATGCTGACCATGCAAAAAAAAAACAAAAAAAAACTGAACAGCAAAAAACACAAAATAATTATTTTAAAGTTTTAAATAATTAAAAACTGTGTCAAATCTCAATAAAAAAGTTTAAAATAATTATAGAAAACAAAAATAAAGTTGGCAACACCGAAAAACCAAAGGATCCAATCTTTTATTGTTATAGTTATCGCATGACAACAAACTTTTTTATTGTTTCAAATATAAATTCATAGGTGGAAACACTGCTCTGATAAATTCTTAGCAACAAACTCACAACCTGGGACCGGACAGGGGAGCTTTTGTGTGTGGATGGCTATGTGTATCATGTTTTTGTGATTCCCTGTGATGATGTGCACATGTTACCTTGCTGAGATGATGGAATTTAATTTTGGCTTAGTTTCCAGAAAGATACATACAACTGTTAGCATCTGTACATTATGGCAGTATGCAATATCGAATAAATACATATACTTAAACAAAAGTAATGTAAGAAGTTATATGAGGAGAGGCTAACTAGCTAACAATGTAGCTTTCAAGTACACAGTTCAAGATAACAACAATATAACTTAAAACACAGCCTTATTTTATAAACCCTCAAAAACATTTGAACACATTTTACTTACTCATTGTAGATTCTTATTTAAAGCCTAAAACATATCAGACTCAAACTCTGAATTGATGGACAGAGAATAGAGCACACTCAGCAGTAAACAAATCAAACACCTGGCTCCCTTAAAGGGCCGGCATTTTCTGAAAACTCTTTCTAACACCTTTGTGTTTAGAATAAGACGGACAGCCTGTGGGAGTGTGTGGTGATGCCTAAATCATTGTTTTTTTTTTTTTTTACAGTTATTTACTGCACAATCTACAGAGTAACAGTGCAGTTATACTAATTAAACACACCTGATCAAACTAAATCTAAAGGTAGTGTGTTGAAGCAGGGCTGGAACTAAATTCTGCTGGGCTGCGGCCCTCCAGGAGTTTGAAATCCCTTGTACATAGCATATTTTCAAAGGAACTGCCTACATTTATCACAATCATGCACATATCATTGAATAAAAACAATAAAAATATAAAAACTTCATCCAAAGCAAAAAATAAATAAATAAAAAATAATAATAAATAATCTGATCCTCATGTTGTTCCAAACCTGTAGTAATAAAAATAAATAAATAAATAAAATAACCTGATTAATACATTTATTTAGGAAAGCCTTTATACTATACTGTTAATGCCACTTTTACCTACTTCATTTGAAGTTTTCCAAACAAATTCATTGAGTCTCTTCAAAAATGCATGTACGTGCTGTTTAAGATATTTTTTAAATAACACATTTTTACTAGTTATTTAGCAAAATACTAATATTCAGCTCAAAGTGCAATTTAAAAGCTTAACTATAGGCTAAACTAGGCAAATTAGAATAATTATAGAAAAGTAAACGAAGTTATAAAAATGATTGTGATAATTTGGTTGCTCTGTGTGAATATTTTTGCCTTTAAATGCATCTCGTCGATATCTTTACCTTTTAATTAGCTCTGTGACATTGACATTGGTTGACTCCTGATACTCAATGTTAAAAACATAAAAGGAACCAAAAAAAAAAACAGAGATGGCTGCAGAGAAATTTAGCTTATCATTAATGCATTGTCTCACTTTCTCCTCAATACTGACCATACACATACCAAAACTGAACAGTATATATATACATAAAGCATCAGAGTACATGGGGTAATAATGGTTGAGCAGTAATTTACCATTTATTATCACAGTAACTATCTGTAATGGGTACATAAAGTAAATTACTGTAACTTATTCTTTGCACTACAAAATCTCATACAAATCCTGCTCCTTTTACAGTAAAATACAATATAATCTACAGTAAGGGTTAACAGCGTAATATTATTGACTATTATGAATATATGCATATGATTTATTTACAATAAAGTTCATAAAGTAATATTTTCTGTCTGTCATTACATATATTATATGAGAGATTTGCTTTGTTTACCAAATAAGTGGATCTAATTGGGTTTGCTTTGTAAACATTAATTACAAAGTAAAAAGGTATTATTTTTTATTTCATATATTAAGGTTTTAGTAATGATACTCCCAAAATCATTCTGCATTAAAAAATTTTTTTTAAATAAATTCTGCCATGGTTATATGGTAATTGTTGTTTTAATCATGTGAGAGCTGACACTGATGTCCATACTAATGGTTGTATAATTCAAGTTAAAAAAACTATGTTTTTTATGTTTATGCAATATAATTAAATGGATATTTCACCTTAATATAAACATTTGCTGTTAATTTAGTCGACCAGAAGCCATCCATCTTTTTTAGTAGAATTTGTAGCTGAAATTGTGGTCCTTGGTTTGTTATAAAATGCAAATTGAGTGTCAAAACAACATACACATACATAAGAAATACCCAAAGCTCCTTATGAATACATGCTGAATGGAACAAAGCTGGTGCAGCAAATCTATGCATCTTACAGTAACACTGCTTGTTCCTGTATTATTTAATTTACATTTTATCATAAGTAATTTATTTATTTATTTATTTTTGGTATTTTATTAATAGAGCGACTCAGTGATTTAATTATCTATTCATGAGACAAATCTGTTTACCGTTCACTTAAAAAGTCAAATCTGAAAAAAAAAAAAAAAAAACATATAATGTGTGTTTTAGTATTACAATGAGATGGTGAAATATGAGGACATTGCTGAACACAGCTTTTCAAAAAGCTCAAAACATACAAAATGAGTTTTTTTTTTTTTTTTAGAAAGTAAAACTGCATACAACAAACACAAAACAATAAAAGCCTAAAAATGTCCCCACAATTCACAAAAAAAACTTATTCTTTAAGGAATAATTGATGATAGATTGTTGATTAATTAGAAAATAATAATTTAAAAATTTTTTTTCCACATATTACATGTAAATAATTCACATATTTTATACACATTTATTATCTTTCTTATTTTGTACTTATACCACACCTAGACAATGTTCAGATGTTTTAAAAACTAGTTTGCACATAGAAGCTGTTTAAGAATATAAAAAAATGTACAAATGTCTTCAAATACAACATCCGAACAATATGTTTAGGTTTAGTATCCAGTATTAGCAAAATATATTGTTTTTCATTTATTGCTTACATGATACATTATTCCTGGCTACAGTGTACTTATATTCTTGTACATTTGCTGAAACACAAAGTACCTACAAACACTAAGAAAAACTATCCATTCCTATTTCACTCTCATTCAGACTCCTATGCCCAAATGTGTAATATCCGTCGACCGTATGGTCGGGATGCTCTGGTCGCTGGCCCAATTGGGGTCAGCCCTGATTATAACCCTCAACCTCTGAATCCTGACGGCACGCTTCCATACATTGAAGATTACGATGAACCAAGAAGTGAGTACAGATATACACCTTAAAGAAGCTGTCTATCCAAAAATGCAAGTTTCTAAAATTTACTTGCTTTAAACCCCTCTGTCTCAGATCCATATGATGCATTTGAAGGACTGCGAGCAGAGGAGTGCGGTGTGCTGAACGGATGCGAGAACGGTCGGTGTGTGCGGGTACAGGAGGGATACACCTGTGACTGCTTCGATGGATACACACTCGACATGTCCCGCATGGCCTGCGTGGGTGAGCAAGAGCACAAGTCTCACACGATCTGAGATGATGAATGATGATTTTTCAGAATGTGGATGGAATTAGCTCAGGTTTACTTATCAGTTCATTCTGACACAAACAGTTTATTTTATTTTTGTATTTTTTTAGCAAAAGCCATATAATAATTAGATGGTATTTTAGTGTCTGTTACAAGTGTGATACAGGTTTGATATTGCATTTGTACAACACATCAGTGGCACAAATGTAAATGAAAAGAACCCATGAAGGAGGGTATTTTTGAGGAAACTTACAGAATGGATTCAAATGTCAAGAAATCATCACAATTACATTTTCAATGGGCGCTATCTTCAATAATACAATGCAAATATTACAGAATTATATATTAACTATAATACTTTCACTCCTTTAAAGGCATTATGAAATGCAGTAATTGTCAAATTGTAGCGAGTTTAATCTTTCTCGATATTGGAATGAGAAAAGCTGCAGGCAGACTGAAACATTTTTATTTGATCCAACAGTATTTGTGAATAATATTGGGGCATTAATTCAAAATTGTGTCTGTCATGTAACTTCAAAATACTCATAACTAGTAAATGAGTGTGATTTTCTCACCTTCTCATGGAAAAGTGGAAGTAAATATCATGACTAATCTCCTAAAATGAGGCATGACTAAGCAGGTGATACACACCCAGGCACAAGTTGCTATCAGAATTGTGAACTGAGAAAGATTAGCAAATTGCATTAATGGCTCTTGCACATATACAGTATACAGTCCTCATCATGAGCACATCCTCTCTAAAATTCTTAAATTCATTAAATGATGTAATTACTATTTACCAAGTAGACGTATTAGGACTTTTTGGAGATATAATGTTCCTGTAAGTTTGCTTGATTAATTAGCAAGTAAAGATGACAACATTTTTCAGTAATAAAATGTTGGATTGCAAAAAACGAGTGTACCCTTTGTTGAAACTTACAAGTCATTTTGATGGGTGCAGAATTTTTTTTGAATGAATTCCACTGAATGGTGCACAGGCCTAATGGTGACAATAACGAAACTACATGGGATAGAAGTGTCAGGGGCCTTATTTCTTTGCACAAAAGAACTACACAAGAGGAATGTCAAATCATTAGTGTGAAAATGAAGCAAAAATAATTAGTCATTAGACAATGAGGCAATTTTATAATCCTTTATTTAACTATATCGGCTTAATTGCTTAATTTACAGAATTAAAGGCATGATGTGTAATTTTTGTTAATAGAGGGCGCATATTAACAACCAACAAAGTTGAAGTTTGTTAATAATAATAATAATAATAATAATAATATTAATAATAATAATTCTAAGCTTAATAATATTAAGCTAATAATTTGACCTTTAAATGGCATTTAAAAAATTAAAAACTGCTTTTATTCTAGCCAAAATAAAACAAATAAGACTTTCTCCAGAAGAAAAAAATATTATCAGACATACTGTGAAAATTTTCTTGCTCTGTTAAACATCATTTGGGAAATATTTAAAAACGAAAAAAAAAAATAATAATTCAAACATTTCTTTTCCCCCTATTTATTTACAACCATAATTCATAAATAATAAGTTGAATAGTGACATTAAGTTTTATATTCTGATGTGTAGCAGAACTATTCATTTTGTGTTTCGTGTTCTAGATATCAACGAATGCTCCGAGCTGAACGCAAAGATGTCTCTTTGCAAGAACGGCAACTGCATCAACACACAAGGCTCTTATAAGTGTGTGTGCCTTCCAGGATTCATCCTCTCTGCCCAGCACAACTACTGCGTGCCCCACAGACAAAATGCCACCAGTACGGGCACAGAGTGACCAGCAGAGGGCGCAAGATGCTAAAAACACTCTTATTTAATCGAGGCCCATATATTCTGCACTGTATAAAAACAAACACCCTAAAACAACCCTACAAAAATCCTACTTGAGATGAAGAGAGTTTAATGTGCCATCTTATGGTGTCTATGAGAGAACTGTATAAAATATTTGTTTTATCGCTCTATGTAAGTATATTATTTTTTACTGTATTAGGAAGTAGAAAAGGTGTGAACATAGCAGAGGTGATATTTCAGCAAACTGACAAACCCTATGACCTTAAACTGGGGGACTGCTTTATTTTACCCAGTCAAAGACACCAAGCGTGTGGATATTTTATATTGCAAAAGCCAAACACTCTCCCTTGTGCTTTTATTTTTTTTATTTTCAAGTTCTTTACTTCCTTTTAGTCTGTTACCGAATAATTAATTATCTGATTTTTCTTTCTTGTGCTTTTCTGTTCACTTTTTACACCAAACACACACTTGCAATGCATTCATAGGAAACATACACGGCACAAAATGTCAAGTCTTTAAAATAAGCTTTTTATATGAGCTGCTTTGTATTAATGACAGACGCCAGCTATTTTTCTGTGTCTGGGACATTAGTTCACTGCGGATGTCTGCCCTGTGGAGCAGGCATGACCTTTAACCTCAGCTTTTCTTCTAGAAATTATTCTTATTTTTTCTTTAAAAAGAAAATATTAAAATGAAGTGCCTTTATGTTTTTTTTTTTTTTTTTTTTTTTTAGACAGAAATTCTGCATTTAATAGACTTGGGGAAATGTCTTGCCAGGTTGCAAAGCTGCTATTAAACAGCCGTGGGATTTAAATTTTGTTTAGTTTTTTCACTCTATTTCTCTCTCTCTTATTTTTTTCTTTTTTTTTTTGTACATTTAAACTGAAGAGTTGATAAACTATGTATTTGTAATTTGTACATGAATAAATACCTTCTAAATATCCCAAAATAATGTATTAAAACTCTTTAAATAAATCAGAGAGGTTAGTTTATACATATTTATCTCTTCTGTGTTGTTTGTCTTTATATATCTGACCTTCTCTGCTGTTAAATTTCGACTGAAACTAATTCTTCAAAACCATTTGCAGAGTATGACACATCGCAGAATAACATCATCCCCATTCAAAACAACACATACAATGGATTGAATTGTTGATTTCCCACAAACAGCTCCATGAAAAGTGTGTCCTTGTCTGATGTGTTCCGTTTTCATTTACCTGTTTATCTAGAGGCTCAATCTTGTGCGGGAAGTCAGGTGACTAATGAGTCACATCAGTTGTTTTTCAAGGAGAAACCAATGGATAAACCTAACTGTGATTTCAAGTGGTCGTTATGACTCATTGCACAGCTGTGATACTGCAAAAATACTGGATTTTGATAGGCCTATGGATCCTTTCAAGACACTGCTTTGTGAAGCTTTGAAACCTTTGCAAATCATGTGTTTTGGACAAGTAGTTTAGAGTCACCAGTCAATCACAGCCATTTGATTTCAGTAAATGAGGGTTCGTTATGCTTCAAAATGTTTTTAAATTTAATCATTATGGGTGATTTTTTTCTGAACCTATGAATGAGCCCAGCGTTAATCTGGTAAGTTTAATAAATTTTTACTAATTAATGAATCATATGTGTAATTAAAGGATTAATTCACAAAAAATCCTAATAATTCACTGATCCCTTGTCATCCAAGATTTTCTGATTCAGTAAAACATAGAAGATTTCTCTCCATGAAGTGTAATTACCTGATTAGACAAAAATCAAAATCCAGAAAATAGATAAAAGGAACTTATTGGTAATTAATTTTGTGCGTTTCCTTTAAATTCACATTGTTTTTATAAGATGCTTTTGGCATGTGTTGGACTGTTTGTGCTGTATTTGCTCAGCTTTTTTATGCAGTCTATGGTTCTGGCCAGCAGTGGTAACCAGTATGTGATGCAACAGGAAATTGATTTGATAGTGATTGCAATTAGCTAATGATGGAAAATATTCCTTGTGCAACTGAGTGAGACGGACGATGCTTTCATGCCTTGTATCACACAGCAGAATGTAACTTGGAAAACATTATTCATTCATTTTCTTTTCAGCTTATTGCCTTTATTAATCAGTGGTCGCCACAGCGGAATGAACTGCCAACTTATACAGCATATGTTTTACACAGCAGATGGCCTTTCAGCCACAACCCAACACTAGGAAACACCCATACACTCTTGCATTTACAAACAAACACTACACCTAATTTAGCTTATACAATTCACCTGTAGCATATGTCTTTGGATTGTGGGGGAAACTGGAGAACCCGGAGGAAACTTCTGATTGTTTCTAAATTATTGGATTTCCTGTATGCAGAATGGAGATATTTAAACATTAATTAATATGTCAGGACAACAGAAACAAACATATTTTTGATGATGTTGATCTTGGGATTGCTTATATAGTTCTTAATAACCTAGCTGTTACCACCAAAAGCATGACGTGTACTTGCCATGTACTGTTATTATCAGATTTTAACTAGTTCAAATTGAAAGGTAATTTCAGGGAGGTAGGCTACCTGTCGTGTAGGTAGTTGTGAACAACTTCCTGTTTTAACCATGTGACCACGGCAGTAATTTCTTGCCTTATCGTTGTTGACATATGTTGTTAACTTATAAAACAAACAAACATAGGATGTACATCCTAGAACTACTACTTAAGTACAATTACAACTGCCAATTGAACTCCAGAACTGAACAATTGTACCTGCAACTGAATTTTTGAAAACTACGACTTGTGATTTAAACCATCTGACTGACTCGGATTAATTTAGGCGCTATTTTGAGGTGTTGAAGTCATGTAGAACTGTTTAATTCCTGGTTCAGGGCATAAACAGCTTAGTCGGTCTTATTTTGACTTAATTACTTTGCAACCACTAAATTGTGTATTCTGTGTATTAATGTAATCTGGATGTCACTTCATTCAATGTTGCCATCCTGGTTACGTTTTTTTTTTTTGCCTACATTTTGAATTAAGAAATAATTGTATTTATAGCATTTTCGCCTACTATTTGGTATGTGACTTTGCCAACAGAGTAACGTCTAGATGTACCCATATGGTTTCAGAACCTTCAGAGGTAAGTACAGCATTTGCGATATCTGTTACAAGAGAATAATTCGGTGTTCATTATTATCCTCTAATTCAACAGAACGGAGTCAGTTATTTTCCCTATGTATGTTTTTACTATTGTATTAGTTATTTATTTTTTGGGGGGCGACACAGTGAGTAGCACTGTCGCCTCACAGCAAGAAGTTCGCTGTTTCGAGTCCCGGGTGGGTCAGTTGGCATTTCTGTGTGGAGTTTCTCCCGGTTTTTGCGTGGTTTTCCTACGAGTGCTCCAGTTTCCCCCCACAGTCCAAAGATGCAGGTGGATTGAATGAACTAAATAGTCCGTATGTGTGTAAATGAGTGTGTATGGATGTTTCCCAGTACTGGGTTGCAGCTGGAAGGGCATCCGCTGTGTAATACGTGCTAAATAAGTTGTCAGTTCATTCCACTGTGATGGCCCCTGATAAATAAAGGGACTGTGCCGAAGGAAAATTAATGAATGAATTTTTTTATTTCATTTTGATGAAATGAAATAAAGTTGTTGACGTGAGGTAATTTAAAATAAATGAAATAGTTCAGAATGGTCATAAAACTAATGCAGTCAGGAACATGAGCAATTCCAGGGTTATGGATTTGACATTTTCAGTGAAAACTCAAAACAAATTCTCATACAAAGCATATGTTAATATTATATTAAAACATCTGTTTGTATTTTCCAAAACAACCACAGTTAAAGGATCAGAAATTATCAATTTGTAAACACGGATATGGTCAAAAAAGTCTGTCAATATACAGTATACATCATACTTTGTAGAAATGCAGCAAATTTAACAGCACAACCCAAAATAAACAATGCTAATCAAAAAGATACATGTTTGTTCCATATAGAACAAAAACAACTGATGTTATTTTTTTTTTATTTTTTTTTTTTTGCATTTATAAGGAAAAAGCTTTGTTATGGATGTAACAGATGTGAAATCGGGAAATCGAGTAACTTTGCTAAACCAAATATAAATGTTTGGAATCTCTGACAGACATTTTTGAGTATTTTTACAGTACTGTTAAATACAACCCACATAGCAAACTATCTCTGACCCAGCTTAGGGCCACACAATCAGCTTTTACTTGGTCCAGATGCCACAGTGAATTACGGTACATGATATGACCAAGTCTGGCTTCCAGACAAGGGCCAAACATGGACCATATCTGGGCCTAGTCAATAACCCATCACTGAGCCTGAACTGGGCCAGATATGTTGGTGTCTTGACTGTAATGAAATTGATAAACCCATGAATCATTGCACTCAAGGCGTGCTTTTTCTTGAAGCGACTTGATTGGTAGAATCTTTTTTCTTTATTTGAAAATAATACAAATGTATTTTAAATGTGGGTCAAGATAAGCTAAACGTACATGGCCCACATATCATTTATCAACATCTGGGCCAAATACTACATTTTACATCTGGCCCAAGTATTGCGTGCCACCTTAAAGACGGTGCCACCTCTGCCAAACCTGGGCCATGTTTGGCCCACATGCTGTATGACAGTGCCGGATGAATGCCTGCTGTGCCAGATTTATGTCAAATCTGGGCCAGAATTCTTTGCCACCTAAGAAGCCTAAATAAAAAAAGGGTTTCACTATTTTGGCGAGGTTAATATTTGCCTTAAATTGCTCCTATTTGGTAGCCTACTAAATTGGCTTTGTGTTTATGTTAAAATAATTTTCACATCAGCCATTTTTTTGTTAAAATAATGTGTCCATCAGCCAATCAGAATCAAGCATTAAACAGCCCTATTCATTCATTTATTCATTTCGTTCATTTTCTTTTCAGCTTAGTCCCTTTATTAATCAAGGGTTGCGTAAAATGAACCACCAACTTATCCAGCATTTGTTTTATACAGTGGATGCCATTCCAGTTGCAACCCAGCACTGGGAAAAACCCATACAGTCTTGCATTCACACCCACACGCTACGGCCAATTTAGTTTATTCAATTCATCTACACTGCATGTCTTTGGACTGTGGGGTAAACTGAAGCACCTGTAAATTCCACACAGAAATGCCAACTGATCCGAGGCTCGAACCAGCAGCATTCTTGCTCCTTGCGAAAGCGCTACCCACTGTGCCACTATGTCGCCCAAAAGCCCATATTATAAGTGAATAACATTTCATGTCTAAAGGAAGATTTATTTGTTAAAATGATTATATTTTTGTGCTTCTTTAAGCTCCAAATACTGCAAGAGACCATCGAAAAAAGGAACAATAAAACAAACACGTTTAACAGCTGAGATAAATGTTAATAAGTAATATTTCAGTTAATAAATAATTAACTGAAAGCCTGCACTATAGCATACCTTGATGTATGCAGTAGCACTTAAATATTCTATTTCATTTATTTACCATGTTATTACAATCCAGCAGGGGTTGCCTTTGCTTTCTGCTATGTAATTATCGTCTGTAATTAATGTACTGGAGCTGCATGTGTGTGTGTGAGAGAGAGAGAGAAAGAAAGAGAGAGAGGGGTGGAGGAGGAAGAAAGGTACAGAATGATTGATTGATGGAGCTGAAAGAGACGGAGTGAAGGGAGGTGAGGGGTGGGACTGAGTGTGAGTGTAGGAGGAGGGCCAGAGAGAGCGGAGGGAGGAGAGCGGCAGCATGCATCTGTGTGGGGTCAGTATCACATGCTCGGCTCTTGCACACCACACTCTTGTTGATTGTGTGCGCTTTGATCTCACTGAACAGTGCATCTGACGTGCAGTTTATACTTTCTGTCTTTCTTTCTTGTTCAGAGAAACATTTACTTACAGAGAAGTATGCTGCAAAATTCACATCTGTCCTGAGTGTGAAGATATCCACAATCAGGTAAGACCTCTTTCACTTGATCACATAAGAGATTCTCACTCCTAATTAAAGCCAGTGGTTTGTTTAGTGGTTACATAAAATTACTGTCAAACTATGGCATGCTAGATGTTGTCAGTTGGGTCAGTTTTACACAGTGAAATGTGTGGTTTAAAGCCAGATGGTGTTACTGTGATCAGCTGAAGAGTACAGAAGGACAATTTACACTCTTAACGCAAACATGTTGCAGCTTGAGAGATTTTTGATAGAGGAATTCGAAGGTCAGAAGTTTTTGTTGTTGTTGTTGTTAGGGGGTCAAGCGCGAAGCGCTGAAACCCTATTGTTTTTGTTAAGATTTTTATTATTATTATTATTATTATTATTATTATTATTATTATTTTTCTGCCCTAGTTTTTATTGGGCAGACCAAACCGTAAGGCCTAGAGAGCTGAAACTTGGCCAGATGGTAGTACCCCGGTACACTAGACCCTGGCCAAAGATCAGCTTAATCGGACCATAGGTGGCGCTATACCGCAAAAAACAACATTTTGCACATTTTTGGCCGCCATTTGTAAACCGTTTGTCGTAGAATCAAATAATTTACATATTTGGAATCCTTGGGTCTGTGCAAACAAAAGTGGAGTGACTCAGATTTTCTCTACGACGCACTGTTTTCCCGCTACATCACGATTTGTCCGAAACCTACTTTTGCAAACTAGTCCTAGGTTTTTCAACCAATCTAAACCAAACCAGCTCTCAAATGTTCTCTGGACACTGAATATCAATAATTATTGAAAAAAAGTTAAAATTTTTATTCTCATGCGAAACAATACGCAAAAACGTTCCATGCTAATTGAAGCTAAATGCTAATTGTAGCTATAACTTTTGAACTGAATGAGATATTATCACCAAACTTGGTACACACATGTGTAAGGTGAATTTGAGGTCACAGTGCAAAACCCGTGGATTTTGGCCACATGGTGGCGCTATAAAGCTTAAAAACATAAAAATTACTCTAACCTTACAATCATTAGTCCAATCAGCTTGAAATTTGGCAAGCAGTGTCTTTGATCAAGTTGTCATAACATACTATAAGGACATTGGCACATCTCAAAAAACATGGCCGCCATTGGCCAATTAGAATTGAGCAGCCATTTAACAAGGTTAACGATGAGTGATCGGAACGAAACTCACTGGGCATGTTCGACTCATGGTCCTAAAGGTCTGTAAGAATTTTGAAAGAAATCGACCACTAGGGGGCGATTTTGTGTTTTTTGAGGGTGTAATTGATTGGTTATTACACACAGTTTTGCGCAACCACACAAAATACATATCATATGATAGGCCTGCTCATACTGAACAGTTTGACACTAAAACCACTGCTGTCACTCACACCGTTCGTTATATATGCATCAATTAATGAAAAACCTACTTTTGTGAACTACTCCCTTGTTTTTCACTCAATCGCAACGAAACAAGTGTTGTTAGAATCTCTGGACTATCTAGATCAATAATTATTAAAAAAAAGTTGAACTTTTCACTTCTGATAGCTGTAACAGGGTCATTTACAAAAGGGGCGTGTCTACATGAACCTACATGCCTGTAAACCAATAAGGAAAAACCAAAACATCACAGAAATTGATGAGCACATGTGGCATACCAATGTGAAAAAACATGCAAAATTTTGTGAAGATCGGGCAATAGGTGGCGCTATAATAGTGGAAATGGTCCTAAAAACATGCTAAATTGGCTTAAAAATGCAGTAAATGTGCTTCATTTACACACTTGATCAATTTTAGTCTAAGCTTATCACTGAAATGATTTACATGTTAAACTTTTTGTCCATCTTGGATGTTTTAAAGGTCTCAAAAACACACATTTTCAATATTCTATCATTTTAGCCACTATAACAGACTTTTAACTGTTACCTACCATTTCTAACCACTAGATGTCACCACAAGACCACTTATTTATTGTTCATAACATTTGCATACCTTTGTTTTTTAAGTTTAAAGTCAGGGAAATTGCATTTAGGATCATTTTGAATCACACTTTGACATGATGTAAACAGTGTTGTGCATTAAAAATCTAATTTAGTCCCATTTAACTTCTTCATAATAATTCTAATTGGCAATACTGGTTCTATGATTAAACACCTTGTTTTAAAACATGTAAAGAAAATCACAACTGTGTCTACAAGATGGCAGTAACACACCACTGATAGTTTATAGTTTATTTTACTGCTCTGTAGAAAAGAATGTAAAGTAATTGGCCATAGCATGAAACTCGTAGACATTGGCCACATGGTGGCGCTATACATTGTAAATTCACAGGCTTCCTGACTGCTATATAACCTTACCCTGCTAAACTGCTTGACCCCCGTCAATCGCCGCTTGCGGCTATATTTGTTGTTGGTGTTGTATCGTTTTTAGTTGTCTGGTGTGTTATGCCATGTTTGTGTGGTGATAATAGGATAGGAGGCAGTGGGGAAAACACTGATATTCATCTGTTTGTTCTGACGACCTTAGTGTCAGTTAGATGTTACAGTAGGTCAGTCTGACCATCATGTTGTGCAGAGAATTGAGATAAAGTTGGTTTTACATTCATGCATTAAGACTTTCTTCTTAATAATATAATTTCACAAAAGTATTCACTGCATATTCCAAATATTAAAAACAGCAATTATTTTGCCAATTACATAGTGCTAATGTAGTTTTAAAGTCATAATTACATGTTATTTTATTTTAATTGTTTAAATTACCATACAGACAATATAGAGAGCTGTCACTGAATGAATGTACAGTACAAATATAAAACCAACTTTACCCTAGTGTGCAGAGATTGTGTGTTATGGATACATTTGTGATTTCAATTGATTTACATTTGTTTTTGTGTACTTTATATTGTCATAAACATATATTACTATGTGTGTGTATATATATATATATATATATATATATATATATATATATATATATATATATATATATATATATATATATATATACACACACACACACACACACACACACACACACACACACACAATTATATATATGCAACTTACAATAAATTAATATAATTATTATACAATATATTACAATATGAATACACTGTTATATATTGTTTAAAGTACAAAACAAATATGTTTTTTTTGTCATTTGAGTTTCTACACATTCTTTTTTAAACACTATTGAATATTATTTATATTTGGGTTACAGCTGGATGTAACAATAAAAAAAATCATATGCATGTTCATTGGTTTGGTCCTTAATATTGTAAGCAGTTTTATTTACTCATGATTTTTGGCAACGTGTGAACAACCGATAACAAATTCCCAAAAAGTTATTCCTTTAATGTTTGTCAAATCTTACTGACAGTTTTTTTGTTTAATTGTTTTTGTCTGAAGGACTCAGAATGCCAAGAAATTCTGAAGTTTGTGGATATAATGCTTGGTTCCGTGACCTCTTCTATGTTGTATGAAACATGAAACAAATGCTACAGTTATCAGTATAATGCTAAAAAAAACTATTCTGGACTGTAACACATGTGGCATGCCAAGAAAATGGATTGATTCAAAGTCTGTTGTATTTAATATACACACATATAACTGAACTGCCATAACAGTGCAACTTTACCTACCTCATCTGTTGATATGATGGCGGGCCATTGCAGAGCTTGTTGCCAGAACTTTCTCTTCTATGTTCACTTTAAGTTGGTACAAAAAGGGGGCTCCCTTTTGTTCCTGGAAGGTTTTAAAAGAACTTACAGAGAACATTAGCAAATGATTCTTGTTTAGTTCCTAAAACATAACTGAATGGCAATCACATAAGAACATTATAGCAACATACAGTGTTTCCTGGGGCTCTTGTACTTCTACACAATTAAAAAAACACCTTTGCAGTATATTAAGTATACAGTGTGATGCACTACTTGTTTACTTCAAACTTAAACACCTCCTTTGCACATTATCTTGCACAATATTGTTCTGTCTTATGTAAAAATACTTGTAAAGTCTGTCTTAGGTTGTGCGTATAGTGAAGTATTAATACTATATGTTTAGTTAGTAGTTAGTTAGATTAACACTTGTTAGTTATGTTTAGGCTTTGAAAATAGCTCCGACATCTTGTGTAGTGTTCATATGTATGATTATGTTTATTTATCTAGCACCGTGGTCCTGCGAGACTCTACACTTTGTGGCACTGTATGTTCACACATGTAGCGGACTGACAATAAAGCTTAGCTTGACTTGACTTTACCTGATTTGCGCATTATGTTCAGTCTTGAGCATGAGCACAAGCAATAAGTCTGTGGCTGCAGTTGCTAAACACACTATCAATGTCACTAATAACTAGAGTTGTGTCTCAAATGACGCTATACACTATTGTGTGTAGTGTATGAGTTTAGGTTTGAACACTAACATTTTGCTACTAACCAGAAATTCAAACCATTTCAAGACGATGTTTAACAATTGCTAACTTCCTGAAATTGATAAGCAAAATAACAATGGCGCCTACAGTATCATGAGTCCATCCAGCATAAAGATCATCATTTGGAGAAATTTATTTGCACATTCCAAAATATATAAAGTAATCCAACGTCAACCCTCTAAAGCTCCTCCCCTTCTGCTATGTGAGCCAAAGCTGTGACCAATGAGAACATTCTATATGCTTAATTGTGTTGGTTGAATTAGTACAACATCTTAGCTTTTTAAGGGTGCTTATTATTTTGGGATTTGGTGTGTGTGTGTGTGTGTGTGAATGCATTACTACAGTATTTATACTACAATTGGCATAGAACAGTGCACAGATATGCGGTTTGGGATGTGCGTTAGGTTTCTGAATTCTATCATTAGCCCCTTGAGCACAAATTGTTTTCAATTTACCAATGTTAGTTATTCACATTTACATAGTTGTCTGCAAAACCCTCGAGTCATTGCAGTTAAGCATTCGTTTTTTTTCACCGTGCAATGTGTATGTTTGTCTGTGTGTGGGTGTGAGAAAGACTTAACACAATGCTGATTT